GTTCGTGCTAGGCCCAGGGCCCTGGCTTTCGGTGTCTTTATTCTTTCTCTTATACCAGCACCAAGGATGTTCCAAGCACGAAGCAGACACCTGCCTACCCACTCACCTGCTCACCCACAGGCCCACCTGCCCACCCACCTGCACACTCATCCTGACAGTCCACCTACCAGCTAACCACGTGCCCTTCACCTGGTCTATCCTTCCCACCTCAGAAGGCCAGGGCAGTGCAGCCAGGAAGCATTCATGCTTATTTCCAGTCAGTTTCACCCCCCCATGCCCATCCCCCCATCTCCTGGTCAGACTCTTAGCAACCTGGCAGGGCTGAGAGCAGCTGTCTCGGGATTGGACCAGTGGGGAACCTCAGGCCAGTCATTTAGCTTCTTGGAGTCTCTGTGTTCTCGTATGTGAAATGGGTGCAAACCAGATCACCTCGTAGACTCCTAGGGAGGATTCCAGCGGTCCAGGTATGGTCAGTTTCTCAGTGAACACGAATTATTATTATTGCTGCTGTTATTTAAATAGTAAACGATAGAAAAGGGGAAAGCCACCTGGCCCACCTGGCTGCTGTTCAGTTTCCTGCTGTCCCTTGTGCCTGCTTTTTTGTGCTTCCTGCAAGGATGTTTCAGGGATTTTGCATTCTAGCTTTATTCACAGTAAATTGGCCATTATCATGCGAATTTCCTTAATGTCTCTAAACATCATTTTAGCATCTACTTAGTTTCCCACAGAGCGACATTTAAGACAGCTCACACTTTTTTTTTCTTTTGCTGTGACAAATAGCAGTGACAGTGGCAGGTCCACTGGGAAACAAGGGGTGCACGAAAACACCTCACTGGTTCTGGCCCTTCCCCTCAATGAGTTACTTCCTCCTAACGGACCCCAGGCAGAAAGGAGCCTGAGTCTGAGGTGACAGTCTGATGGCTCTTTTCACAGCTGTGCAATGCCTGGTGGCACTACAGATGGGCTCCTGAAGCAGCTCTGGGGCGCTATCTCTTTAATTGTCACGGTTTTGTTATTAATCCGTTCTGTTTCCTCTCTCTGTCTATTTTACTGCGCCTCTAAGAGCGTTGATAATTGTCTCCGTTTCCATAAAGCAGCCCTTATTTCTCAGAACTTGGTTCCTTGGGGTTCTCCAATACTCCCTCTTATTGTTTCCTAAATACATTTTAAATTAACTTTCAGTCAAGTTGCTTTTCTGGAAAACCAGGGCTTGCCCTGAGTGGCCCAGCTCAGGCTGGGTACTCAGTGTCCCGCACACTGTGAGGTTCCCAGCCCCGTGACAAGAGTGTCCAGAAACACAGTGGGAATTTGGGAGGCTCTCATTAAAAGGCAAAAAAAAAAAAAAAAAAAAAAAAAAAATCAAACTAATCATCAAGCTGATTAAATACACTGTAATGGACACGGAGAGGCTAACCCTTCAAAAGCCCACACTTCCTGTTAGGTTTCTGTGTTGGCTGCGGCTGTGCTGTCCCTGGGTTAGGGAATGTATGAACTGGTCCGGCATGTCTGCCCAGGAGATATCTACAGATGGGCTGGCCCAGGGCATCTTTTCTGCATTTAATGACAATGAGCTGGGGTGTTACATCTCAAAAGCAGGCAGTATGGGCTTTGCCCATACTGCTGGGACTCAGCTAGTGGGCGGGGATTATGTTGGTACCTGAGGGCAGGGTGTTTGGTGCTTGCCAAGTCCTTCCCTGTCACCAGGCTGAGAAAGCAAGACTGGCCTCTCTTTCTCTACTGTCGGATCCTTTGTCCCCGAAGGGACCACAGTAGGCTTCTCTTCCTAGACCCAGCCTGCTCCTGTGCCAGCCTCCATGGTGGCAAGGCTTCCACAGACACCACAGACCCTTACTTGACAACCAGTGTCTTTCGGAGGCCGGCTACAGGGTTGAAGCCCTGTACAAAGGGTTAGGAGTCCAGAGCTGAAGAAGGCAGAGCCCAGAGCCCTCACAAGGCCCTGCTGACTCAGAGAAGGCCCACACTGACCTCCTCCCACTTCGCTTGGAAAAATCAATGCCTTCTGTCGAGGGCAAACACACCTCAGAGAAGGGCAGGGAAGTGCTTCAAAGACCACTCCAGAGTGACCTTGATGGGGTGGAGAGGTCTCAGGTGCCTCTTGCAGCCTGAGTTCCCAGCAGACTGCTGGTCTGGAAGGCCAGGAGCAGCATGGGGGGAGGGCAGCCTCTGGGGCTGGATCCCTGAGTCTTTGAGCAAGCCCCTTTCGCCTACCTGGGGAAGCAGGGACTTTGAGAGCCTGCAGGCAGGTCTGTTGGGAGCTTGGCAGCACGGCATCCGTTTCCCAGCTGGCCACCTTCACACTGCTCTGGGGACTGCAGAGACCCAACCTACGCACTTATATGGAACTTTCATTAAAATGTCCTACCTAACGCAGTAATTGTGTAAGTAGAGATGCCAGAACTATGAGTCATTAATAAAGAGGCCTCTCCTAAAGGCCAGGTGTAACCCTCCATGAGGGGAGGGGACACCCCCCCTCCATGCCCATGACAGAATTCCTACAATCCCGATGAGCCACAGCAACCTACTCATGGGAAGGGCCCCAAAGCCCTATCTGCCTGTCTCTTCCCACCCATGGGAGTTGGAGGAAGGGAAGGGACACTGCCCCAAGCCCCACCACAGCGGGAAGTAGAGGACAGCTTGTGTCATTGCTCCTCCAGCCACCTAGGAGAAGGACCATCCCCTTGACCCCTGGATCTCCGTACTACAGCCCCTGCTTCCCCATACCGGCTGCCATTGCTGGAGTTCAGAGAGACTCATCAGCTGGAGCTGGGTATTGTGGCTATGAGCAGGAAAAGCCAGAATGCCTGGCTGTGCGGGACCCACAGCCCCAGCACCTCCAAAGTCTCCGTTACTTTCCAGTCCTTCTCTTCAACACCCCAACCCCAGCCAAGCGACCTACTGGAGACTTAAGGGGACATTAGCTTCCCCTAATCCAGAGACCTTTGGCTGCTACTTCACAGGGAAATAGTCCTTGCACTTCCCCTCTCAACCCCCCCTCCCGTGATCTCCTGACCTGAGCTGCCCAGTGCCCTCCCTAGGTGTTCCCTGACCAGTACCCACCCAGTGTGGGAGTTGGAATCCCCTATCAAACACCTTATTCCATAGGTTGGGGCCAGGGAGGGCTAGTTGACACGCCACCAGAGAAGCACCTCCAAGCCTCCCTCCTGTAATCACCGTGTCCTCCCTCTACTGAGGCCACTTTCATGTTTCTAGAGCTTTGTTGCCTCTCAGAGCTCAAATCCGGGTGCCTGCCGATCGATAGATACATTCATGTAATGGACCGATACTCTGTCCTCCTAAAAGCCATTAGTCAGTCAGTGGCAACAGTGTGTCTCCCAGCTGACAGCAGGAGAGGGGGGCAGAGCTCTTTGTGGTGCCTAGAGACAAGAGCGCATACATAGTCCATTAGTCTGAGACGTCTGAGCTTCCGGCTGGGGGCTGGGGAGGCCAAGTGCCACAGTGGGCAGGTGTTGCCAAGGGGAGCAGTAGCTGTGCTCAGGCCAGCGGTGGGGGCTGTGAGGGCTGTTCTGGAGTGGAAAAGGTGGGTACAGAGCAGGCAAGGGAGCAGAGCAGACTCCAGAGGGGCTTGGGCGTGATGGCATGGTTAGTCACTGTGCTGGGGACAAGGCACTCCGGGTTTCAGGGGAGAAAAGGAGGGGTGGGATGAATCCTGAGGGGCCAGGACAGGTCACAGGTGAAAGGGAGAGATGAGATGCCCAAAGGACAGGTAGGTCTCCAGCAAGCATGGTGACCCAGGAGGAATGCTGGGTAGGTTACCCCCCCCCCCCAAGATGGCTTGTCTCCGGCTGTTCTGGCAGCCATGGACAAGGATGAGGGGTGTTGTCTTTGTGTGTGTGTGTGTGGGGGGGTCTGTGTGTGTATCTGTATGCGTCTGTGTGTGGGTGTGTGAGTTTGTGTGTATATGTGTCAGTGTGCATGTGTGTGTCTGTGTATCCTTGTGTACCATGCAAGGAAGTGAATGTGCTTGGGTTTGACCTTGGATGGAATTTCTTTCCACACCCCACCCCTGCTAAAGAGCAGTAAGAGGGCATCCCAGTTTATTTGTTTTTTAGGTTTGGGGTTTTGTTTGTTTGTTTGTTTGCTGTGATAAAACACTGACCAAAAGTGACTCTGGGAGGAAAGGGTTTATTTGGCTTAGGGATTAAGTCTAGAGAAGCCAGAGCAGGCAGAGACTGCACGAGAACGCTGCTCAGTGGCTTGCTCCCCCTAGCTTGCTCTGCCAGCTTTCTTACACAGCTTAGAGATGACCCCGCCCACAGTGGACTGGGCCCTCATGCAACAGTTAACAAGAAGTGCCCTACAGACATGCCCTCGGGCTGGTCTGATGTGGGTGTTTCTTCAGCTGAGAGCCCTTCCCAGGCAGCCCTAGGGTTGGGTGAAGGTGACCGCCCAAGCTAACCCTGACAGAGAGTCTGATGGGTCCGGGTGACTTACAGGTTGAACTGCAGAAAGCAGAAACAGGTCCCAGCCTGCACTCAGGTCTAAAGGAACATGAGCAGGACCAGTGGGGCCAACCGTCACGGATAATCAGGGACAAGGAGTGACACCCTAGGGGCAGCAGATGATGTTTATTCCACATGATCCACAAGACATAGACCCAAGACTGGGCTGCAGGTCAGGGCTGAAGACGCAAAACAGACCTGATCCCAGCACTTAGTTTCCGAGCCCTAGCAAACTCCTAGTCATCCCTCAGAACCTTACTGAGGCCATTTCTTTGATGGTGGGGGGGGGGCATTTCTTTCGAGGACCATCTCTCCCCATGTCCACTGCAGTTAAGAGCCCTAGCCACATGGTCTGCACCCTGAAAGGAGGAGAACAAGGCCTATCTGAGTCATCAGAGTGCACAGGGCCAGGGCAGAGCCCTAGGCAGTAGTGGGCACCCTATTCTACCCTCCACCCCCTTTTGCCGTTTGACCATGGGCAGCCGTGACCCTCCATGTCTCGGTTCCACCTTTCCACAGAGCCTCCTGACCTTCCTGGGCTGCCAGAAAGAGTGGGACAAGAGTGGGTAAGTGCTTTGAAACCCTTGACGCAGGAGAAGGAGTCTTGATTCCCACGGGGCAGGAGGTGGGCGATTCCAGACAGAGGCCTCCGAGGGACGGGTGGTGCTGAGCGGCAGCTGATGCAGAACACAGGTTTCCTGTTAAAGTGGTACCATCAATTATTGACCAGAGTGACATTAAAAATTAACTGCCAGGATGTTTGTGCTAAAAAGGCCCAAGCCTCCCACAACTGAGAGGGAGAGGCGACAGGAAAGAGGGCAGCCAGAAGGTCTAGAAGAAGGGAGCTCCAGAGGGCACAGCCCACCCTGTACCCTGCTCCCAAGCTGTGATGCCCACTACCGTGTGCCATAGAGATGCCTGGCCCATCCTCCAGGCTGTAACCCGACAGAGGCTCCATGACCAGCAGAATGACGTTCCTTCAGCTGCCAGACAACTTCCTTCTGAAGGAGCGAACAGGGCTCGTGTTCAAGGTCTTTGTCTTGAGACAGTCTCATGTAGGCCAGGCTGGGCCTGGACTTCTGATCCTCCTGCCTCCCCATACGCAGTTTATGTGGTTCCGGGCATGGAGCATGGTCCTTCATGTGTGCCAGGCTAGCCCTCCACCAGCTGACCCACACCTTCATCTCACACATTAAACTCTTCACGGTACCACGACAGAGTAAAAGGACCCTCTCTGCCGACAGCAGCACCATTGTGAGGCCTCACTGTTTCTCTGGGAGACCCAGGGAGGAGTGAAAGGGAGCCAGACCCCGGGTGGAGAGAGGGCGAGTGCATCCCACTTCACCAGCCTCTCAGGTGGGAGTTCTTCCTGACATTTAACGGTACTGGGGTTCTGAAACGTCACGAGCGCATCCAAGCCCCAACAACCAATGAGAAGTGTTGGTCCCAAGGGGCTTCCATGTCCCCAGCGCAGATTCGTGCAAGCCAGTCACTGCCATGTACGCAAACCCTTGTTGCTTGCTTCTTCTGCTCTGAGGTCACAGCCAGTGTCTGTCCCGCTGGGTGACCCAAGGGACCCTTACGAAAGCACATGCTATTGACAGCTGCTCCACACACGTCTGTTCCCCTCCGGGGCCTGTGTTGGGACCAATGGGTTACCCGTACCTCATGCTGGTTGAACTTGGCTTTGGAAGCCTCCTTGCTCCAAGAGCAGGTGACAGCTGATTTGCAACCCGTCAGTGCAGGTGGCCCAGGCTGCTGGCTTCTGAGGGTCACTACTGTGTGTGTGCAGAATTCTGCTGAGCAGATCAGTTGAGGGAAGTGGCTCATGGAAGTAGGTGACAATAGTTGGGACAAAGGGAGACAGTGACTCATCCTGAGGGCCAGCCAGGACCTGGTCCATGCGCCTATCGGCCAAGCCAGGACCTGAATCCTTGCTGACCACCCAAGACACGCCCAAAACTGGGAAGAGACACAGAGCTAGGATAAACTCCCACACTTCTACAGTGTGGGGCAGAGCCGAGGGACACCAGAGCCGAGGGACTGTGGAGCCCAGAGACCCCAGAGTCATAGGACCCTGGGATGCTGGGACCCTAGCAAACAGGGACTCCAGAACTGAAAGATCCCATTGCTATGGGATATTCTGGCCCTAACATCAAGCCATCAGGTCCAGTCCGTCAGGAGGCTGTGAGGAGGGGGCGTCTTGAGGCACCTGCCTTCCGTGGCCCATGGCCCCACCCACAACAGCTGCTGTCTGTCCTCTGCTTCTGTTTCCTTTCTTTAAACCTTTTTTAAAAGTTTATGTGTACGGTGCTTAGTCTAAGTCTGTGTACCGCTTGCATGGCTGGATCCTCCTGAAGCCAGAAGAGGGAGTTAGATTCCCTGAAATTGGAGTTATAGGCAGTTGTGAGCCCCCCGTGTGGGTACTGGGAACTGAACCCAGGTCCTCTGAGAGGGTAGCCGGTGCTGTTAACTGCTGCTCTTCAGCCCCTGCTTCTGAGACCTTTCACCTCTAACACTCTCCTGGCTGTGCCCAACTGGATGAGCCTAACCAGGCCTCTTGTTAGGACCCTGAGTGGAATCCCAGTAGCAAGCCCCCAGACTTGCAAGATAGAACCGCATGGTTCCCAGGGGCTGGGGCAGGGGAGCTTAGAGGCCTTGCCCGCCTCTGTCTACTCAGGTGTATGATGGATGTCAGGGCACTCTGCGCTCCTGTAGCTTAAGAATGGGCCGTGGCCTGCTCACATCCTCATCCGGCCCCACAGTGAGCATGTGGCATCTAAACCGTTTGCGTCATTGCAGGAACAGCACCTCCTACTGGAGACCTGCCACCCGCCGGGCCCACATCTGCTGCCCAGGCTGCCACTATGACTACATCTGCCACCACCCTTCCCACTGAGCTTCTCCCAACATCCCTGCCTTCTGCTGCCTTGTAAAATCTGCTCAAAGCCGTCCCAGCTGTGGGGCTGCTGGGAGAACACCCCAGGAAATGTGTCACGGCTCCTGCCCTGGCCCGGCATCTAGCCAGCACTAAGTGGCTATGAACTATTGTCATCCCAGGAGCCATGTCCACACTTCACCTGCAGTTAGGCTGAAGCCTCTCGTCTCTCCTTTGCTTTTATTGTTCCAGACTCTCCCGGCATTCTGGAAGCTTTCATTACTATTCAAATTACCAGGTGCTCCATCTCATTTCAGCCAGGGTTGTTGGCAGACGCCAGCTCACCCCGCCTGCCAGCTGCACGGTGCCTCCTCCTGCCTCCTTGCCGGGCTCAGCACCACTCACCAGTGCCACTGTGCAGACTGGAGGTGGTGTGTCCCGGTGGTTAGCACCCCCAGCACCAGATGGACATTAATGATGGGCAAGCCAACGATGGGTGTGTCCCCTCTGAGCCCAGGTCCTGAGGATGGGGATCACAGCCCAGGGGACAGCACCTGGCACAGGAGGCTTGGCACAATAGCTCCAGCACTGCCCAGCCGTAACTTGCCTTTCTCAGAATGTTCTTGAATCCTAGGGCCCTGGTATGGAGTCTGAGGACCTTCATCTAGAGTTGAAGTTGGTGGTAGGCATTGTCTTCCTACCAGGCCTTCTATGGCCTTCTGAATGTATTCAACCAGGCTGTCCCCTGCCTGCCCTTTCCCCAGGACCAACCAACTTCATGCTCAGGCCCCCACTGAGCTGAGGACCAGGTCAGGCCTCCCGGGACATCATTTTTAATGTGGCCACACAAATCAGAAATCCCCTGAATATATTTGGGGTCCTCATGTTCTAACCCAGCTCAGAGTCCTAGAGGGAGGCAGTGACATGGGACCTAGTCCCATGATCCCAGCACCCGCTCAAAAAGGCTACAGAAGACTCCATTAGGTCAGGCTTCCAAAAGGGATGGGAAAGATGGTGGCATTGGCCCCATGTGAAGGAGTATGACTGGCTCTGGGCCTAGTTCTCCTGGGGCCAGAGTCAGTGAGGGCCTCAGGATCAGGCATACTGTGGAGAACAGGCACCCTTGGGGGACAGAAGTCAGCAGCCAGTCAGGGACAGTTTCTTTATCCTGGGCTCATCATGATCAGCTGTGATCACCATGAAAGCCAACAGTTCCTTCCAGAAGGCTAGGGCAAGGCCAGGCAACCCAACATGCATGGTCTCTGACATGGCTAATGCCCAGCCAAGGCATGGCGCTGTGGTCAACAGCCTGCTGTGTCAAAGTCCTGCAGGCCTGGAGTGGCATCAAGTGGGTACCTGAGGACCTGCGACACTGAATAACTTGCCCAGAGTCACACAGCATTTCTGATAGATACATCTGTCTTTACTAGGACCTGAAACTATTAAAAACTGAGTCCTGCACTAATGGCCGGGCCAGCAATCCATGTAGAGGGACCAGAGAAGCAATGACCGTGAGGCAGAGGTACCCAGACTCTGAAGGAGAATTAAGTGGCCTTGGCGTGCTTGAATGGTTTTGAAAGTGGGGTCAGGGAGCCTGGGGATGAAAGACAGGAAAGGGGCAAGGATGGAGCTGCCTGATTAGAGAAGTCGGGACAGGGGGAGGAAGGGGTCAGTATAGAGGAATGTGTAGGAGTTTGGTGTGGGATAGGATGAAAGCAAGGTGCCTGAGCAGCATGGGGAGGGGAGTTCAGGAGGAGGCTGGGACTGCTATGTCGAGGCCTCCCTCAGCCTGTATCAGTGCTGTACAGGTCACTGATAACACCCTGGGAAGGAGAGCAAGAACCAAGGAGGTGAAGTCCAGACACCTGGGCCCGGGGCAATCTCAGCATCCTGGCCACTCTGGTTTCTGGTTCAGTCCCCCAGGTGTGGGAGCCAGCCTCTCTGAGCTGGCACAGCCTTCAGCTGTGACCCCTGTTGCTGGACAAATAACCTTGGGAGGTCTCTGCTCACCCTGTGTGGGGGAGCTGGAGGGACCGAGTGGCATGACTGGATCAGGGCACAGACACCCGTCCCACAGGTGTCAACACCTTCACCTGCCACAGAAAGCCTGGGCATCCCCTCCTGTGTACTCCTTTGTGCACCCTCTCTGGTCTTGGCCTGCGCAATGAGTGAAGCAATGTGAAGAAACAGGACTCTCCCGGCAGTCTGGGCTCTGATCGGGCCATCTCCCAAGGTAGATGCTTTTGCCTTCGACAAGCTCTTTGCATATTTCTCCTTTCCCAGAAAGGCAGTTATGTCATGGTGGCTTTCTGATAAAGCTGGGGCAAATGGAAAACACTGCCTCTTGGATCTGGCCCTCTTTGGTCATTGGTTGGTTCACTGAGTTTAATCGGTGGCCTCTGTGTGCCAGGCACCGTCATGGCCCTGGGGAGTTCAGTGTGGCCAAGCCAACACCAAGCCCAGGTTAAGGAGAGGCATGGAGTGACTGGCTGGGCTGTCAGCAGGCCAGGGGCTGCCATAGAGAAAGCAGTTTGAGCGGGGTGTGGGAAAGAGGAGGTGTGGTCTAGCCTTGGCAGCCAGCAGGTACCAATGGGGGAGAACGGAACAGATTGTGCCGGGTAGATGATGGCATGTGTGTTGTGTGTCGACAGTGATGAATAATGGCAGATCGCATGACATGGAGGCCAG